GACCAATGGGAGCTAGAGAATGTGACAGTGGGCGATCTGAATATAGTACAGGCAAAATAGATTAAAATTCACCAAAAAAACAAAAAAATTAGTTCAGGGATGAAATTTTGGTTTTACCTTCGTTTTACCAATAGAAGTCAAGACCCGATGAGTCCCTAACAGTCCCGATGGGGGAACATAGTTTTTAGGGGGTGGGGAGGGGGAATTTTGATATAATTCATTATTCACGATTTGAAGTCATTTAGGAAGTCGTTTTTAAGGTTTGTATACACGGTGAATCGATAGGAACCATATTTAGGTCGATAGAACCACCGCCATAAGAGATTTAGCATATTGGTACATGTTTAGTTGTTATTTTTTCTAGGAGGGGTAGGGGGAATTTTTAATATTTTATGATTTTTGACTTATGACTTGTTGGGTGTCGGTTACAATGTATTTCTACATGCCAAATAGAATGGAACCACTATTTTGTCGATATAACTACATTATTAACAGATTTGGAGTGCTATCTGACTGAAATAAAATAAATGTTTGTGCACAAAATTAATTATTTAAAATTTAAACATAAAAATTAAAAATATTATCCAAACATCAAGTATTATTTGAATGAGTTTATTTTTACAATAAATTCTATTTTCCCTATTTTAAAAAATACCCTCGCCGCAGCAAACCTGCAGACCAGGTGAATTTCCATTTATCTGGCAGGATTTCTACTAAAATTTGTCCTTGAAACTGTCAGATTTATTTCCTATTTTAATAACATTACTTTTAATTAATAATTAGGTTTGCTGCTACAGGGATGTAATGGGGGTTGTTTTTATTAAAATGTTGATAGCTTAGTATGCAATAAACAAAATTGCCAAGTTTGGTTTAAATATATCCAAAAACAAGTTTATTTATCTACAACAGTTTATTTATTTTCCATTAGAATAACATGGGAATTTTTAATTTAATTTTTTTTAATTATCTCCTTAACCGTTAGGCGTACAACAAGGCATATACTAAATTATTAAATCTTTTAAGCTCTAGTAAGTGGTTTGGAAAGAAATTGTGAAATTCTTTGTTGGTGGGGTCAAAAATGGGAAAACCCAATTTTCTCCCCACAAAAGTCTCCATAAACCCATATAATATATATACATAATACATTATAATATATTGACATTAAGTCAGGGTTTAAACCATGTTTTATGATTTAAAGTTCAAGTAAATATCTATTAACCTTTGCGTAGCCCCTACAAAGTTTGTATATATGTTTTATATGTTTTGTACATATGTATACTGTTTTTATATCCTTCAGCAAGTCAAAGGAATACATTCTAAGTTACAACGAGGTTTTTAGCGAATTTCCCATATAGGGAATAAGCTATTGCCGTAGGTCTCATGGTAAGACTTAGACCCGTGACCAATTTACATTTTTGTTTTGAGGTCCCTAGAACTCAAAAACACCATCCTTTCAAATTCATATACATATGTGTCCGTTTAGCGTGATAACTCGAGCACAAATTATCCGATTTTGATGTAATTTGGTACAAACGTGTAAACCTAAATTTATTCAAACAAGTTTGCGAACCAGCATGATTGGACTATGGGAACAGGGGTTTATGGGGATTTTTATGGGGAGAAAATTGGGTTTTCCCATTTTGACCTCATCAACAAAGAATTTCACAATTTCTTTCCAAACCACTTTCTAGAGCTTAAAAGATTAAATAGTTTAGTATATGCCTGGTTGTACGCCTAACGGTTCAAATCAAATCAAATCAAATTATCTTTATTCACTTTATACATTTTAAATACATGAATAAATGTTTTGTGTTTGGTCAACGCATACAACTTAATCTAAAAGACTTAACCATACAATTTTACAATTATTTTAGAATGTGTAGCTAATCTATATATTAATTTGAAACTGTTTTTCTTTGTCATAGCTATTTTGAGAGAACGGCTGGGCGTAGAAACTCGGTAGGGGTGTCTAAAGAAAGGTCTTGGTCTGTAGATGAGCCATCAAAAGAGAAACGTGGTAAATTCCCTAGGGGCTCTGCCCCAGTGGCCTTTAAAGTCCCATCCCATGTTATTCTTATGGAGGAAAACGGGGTTTTTGTCACATCTAATTTGAGAGAACGGCTGGGTGTAGAAACTTGGTAGGGGTGTCTAAAGAAAGGTATTGGTCTGTAAGTGAGCCCTCAAAAGAGAAACGAGGTAAATTTCCTTGGGACTCTGCCCCAGAGGCCTTTAAAGTTCACTCAGCAATTTTGTTTACATTACGACCATATGGATAATTTTACACTACTTTTAATGAACCAGCTGTTAATATTAAAATTGTATTCAAAGGTCTACTGAAACTGTCAAAATTAAATGTTTACATTATTATTTATTATTTTAAATTGATTCTCCACTGCATGGCAAGTTTTTTATAGTTTCAACAAAATTATGAATTTATGATACGTTTTAAATGTTGTGATCAAAAATATATGCTTTATTGCTCTTAGAAAATTTTAAATTATAAAATAAGTGTGACATATCAATTTTAAACGAACATAATTATTCCTTATCGGGTTAGCTTATATATATTGTAAGGTTGGCACTTGCCTTTTTTTGCCTACTTTCAATTACCATTTATTTTTTAATTCAAGAAAGAACACCAGAAATTCATTTATTGGTATAAAGGTTTTTGACAATCGGGTTAAAAATTATGTCATAGATGAGTACGTTGAGGATGAGAGCTGTGTTCAAGTTTTGGAATAGACTAACTGCGGAGTATGTTTCATCTATGGTTTTGGTGAAGTAGGTGAACTAATGTCAATTCAGGTATTAAAAAAAAAAATGTGTACAGGGTTTTTACTTTGCTGTACACATGTAACAACGCATCTAAACCTCACTACATACAAAGCATTCGGAAACGCAACAGTGTCATCACATCTAATCGCATTTGCATAATTTGTTACCAAGGCTGGACTAGAGGTTATGGATTTGGTTCCGCAAATGTTCAAGATTTGTGATCAAATTTCCTACAATTATGGTTCATTCCATCCACGAAATACATGCACAGCTTTATGTTATCGATCTGGCCAAGGCGAAACTATCCCGAACTATAAGTTAATGAATTATCAAGTAAGAACAGGATGATTAAATACATGGGTCGATGTGGCAAGAGAAGGAATTAAAATTGCTTAGATCGAAGTAAGAATCTTACTGCTTTCTAGATAATCAGATATTTTTATCAAATAAAAAAAAAACTGATTTAATATGCTGATAAAATTCTGTATTTTTATGACCAAAGATGAAGATTTACTTATAAATCCGGATACAATCTGAATGATTTTCCTAAAGCAGATTGAATTAGTTGTTAGTAATAAATATTGACTCTTTCGGTTACATGATAGACTAATTATATGAACTCATTCTCCCATATAGTGAAAGTGGTTTTGACATGAAACAAACTCATGAACAAACCATTTTATAAGACTCCTAAAAAACCTTTTGGGCAACCTAAAGCCGATAAAACGGTAGGAAATATTGTGTTAAACGAATTCATCAATCACGGTTTTTAGGGAACACAATCGTCATACTTATTATTATGCTTATCCTCCCTTCATTTAACTAAGATTTTAATGACTTCACTCTATCTATCGCAGTTAGCTGAATTTACATAAAACCTCAAGATTAACCGTCGATTTCGACGGGGTTCTACTAGTTCATTTTTGATTTAGAAACTCATCTATACTATAAGGAGCCAGATTAATTAAGAATGATTTTAATTTCTTTAAAAAATTGGGTTTGTTTTGATATCTTTTTAGTAAGGCAGGCAAACTTCTTATGAATAAATTGTCGATATACGAAGGTTTCATTTTTGAAAGTTTCAGCCGATGATGACTTTTTACAGTAAGATTTTTCCACCTTGTGTTGTATTTATTGGATACTTCAGTGTTTTTATCTTTATAAACATGCTGAATAGTTTTAAAAATATACAAACCATACACTGTAAAAATTTTCATTCCATCATTACATTGTAAAAAAGTACTTTAATTTTTTTATTAAATGAGTTTCTTTTTATTTACGTTTCTTTTATTTACTTTCCGTAAAAATTAAAGCAATTTTTCACCGTCTTCTTATCCTTAAGGATTCTTATCCTTTAAGGTTAAGGAGGTAATTAAAAAAATTTAAATTTAAAATTCCCATGTTATTCTAATGGAAAATAAATAAACTGTTGTAGTTCGCTTGTTTGTGGATATATTTAAACCAAACTTGGCAATTTTGTTTATTTTTTACTAAGCTATCAACATTTCAATAAAAACAACCCATATTACCTCACCTCTAGCAGCAAACCTAATGACTCATTAAAATTAATGTTATTTAAATAGAAAATAAATAGTAATCCTGTCAGGTAAATAAAAATTTGCTTGGTCTGCAGGTTTGCTGTGAGGGGGTATTTAATTATAATAGGAAAAATTAAATGTATTGTAAAAATAAACTCATTCAATTAATACTTGATGTTACAGTAAGTTAATTGTTTTATTTTTTATGTTTAAATATTAAATAATTAATTTTGTGCACAAACACTTATTTTATTTCAGATAGCACTCCAAATCTGTTAATAATGTAGTTATATCGACAAAATAGTGTGGTTCCATTCTATTTGGCACGTAGAAATCCATTGAAAACGTCACCCAACAAGTCATAAGTCGAAAATCATAAATTATTAAAAATTCCCCCTACCCCTCCTAGAAAAAATGACAACTAAACATGTACCAATATGCTAAATCTCTTATGGAGGTGGTTCTATCGACCTAAATATGGTTCCTATCGATTCACCGTGTAAACAAACCATAAAAACGACTTCCTAAATGACTTCAAATCGTGAATAATGAATTATTTCAAAATTACTCCTCCCCACCCCCTAAAAACTATGTTCCCCCATCGGGACTGTTAGGGACTCATCGGATCTTGACTTCTATTGGTAAAACGAAGTTAAAACCAAAGTTTCATCCATGAACTAATTTTTTCATTTTTATTTACTATTTTTCCTGTACTAATACAAGGATTGGGAAACACGCCTCTTCACAGCTGACGGAGGTCAAAACAATGTCTCACTCTGGAGAAACAAACAGTTTGACATAAATGTCATCGGTTTCTCAAAATTAAAAACATCAATTACAGGAAGATTTGAAGTTGACAGCGCTATTGCGGAAAATAGATTGACGAAATGGTTTATCCGACCTGATCTAAGTATAGCGTTGACAAAGATTTAGTTTTAGATGTTTTCCTGACCCATAAGAAAAAAGTGTAAAAGTGGAAGGCACAAATAAACAACATTTATTAACCTAATCTATGTACAACCTTACAATGAATACTAATTTAATTATTTAGTAAAATAAATTATTAGTGAATACTTTTAATCTCCATTTCATTTCGGAGACGTATATACAACTAACTGGATCACAGTTTCATGTAACAGTAATATGACACTAGAATCGACCAGGTCGACGTGGTATGTGTATTCGATGTTCTTGGTCATGCTTTTAAGGTGAACCGAACTGATAAGTAATTCAGCCATGGACTCGTGATTTTTCGATAATTTAAGTAATTGTGATTTAAAGAATTCATCTATCTGAATGTAATAATTCAATCCAAACTTAAGGTTGGAATAGTTTCTGGAAGGAACTCTAAATAACAGCAAACAAAAATAAATAGGTTTTCAATTATTTCCATGACACTATTAAAATAGAAAATGTCCATTGGTCTGTAAAGTTAAATTTGTAACCGTAAACGCTCACTGCAATGCAAAAAGTGCATGATACAGAATCGACCATCCTAGACAATTTAAAACCTAGGGTCGTATGGAGTTGAGTCGAATCCGACGTATCGGTTGTTCTTCCTGTGCACGAAGCCTGTCCCAGGGGCGGAGTTGTAGTAGATGACCCTCCGGATGCCGAAGGGGTCGATGTAGCCGAAGCTGCCGGCGCGCTTCTCTCCGGGGAGTGTCTCTTCCTCGTGGTAGTGCCTGGGGAGGTAGTACCGGAATCCATCATGGGTCATGGAGACGCCATCGTACGGAGAGACCTGATCTCGTCCCGAAGAGTACCGCTGGGCACCGACCGTGTCGTAGACTCTCCTGGAGGCAGAGGGGTAGATGGAGTTGGGGTCGAAGTATGGTCTGAACGTCTGGGGTCTAATTGGAGCTGGAGTCGGAGTCGGGGTAGTCGCTTCATAATAAGGCTCAGGAGTACTAGAAGGATAAGAAGAATAGTACGAGTTAGGTGTGATGTACACTTCCTTCACATACGGTGCAGGAGTCGACGAAGGATACTCTTTGTTCTGCTTCAAATAGTCACTGAGCGATATAGGAGCTACTGTGGAGGAAGAGTAGTCCAAAGAGTTGGACACGAGTTCAGGACGGTAAGTGGAAGACACGTAAGGCTTAGGCTTCTCGTATATCTTCGCGTTCTCGACTCCAACTCCTCCTTGACTGGGTACTTTCTTGGCAGCGGACACAGCGTCGCCAATGGGTGTGTCGACTCCAACAAGAACCTTCTTGGTGCGGACTATGCGGTAGCCCTTGCTGTCGGCTATGTAGTCCCGGAGCCTAAGGTAACCGTTGGAGTCTACCCATCCGTACGATCCAACCACGGTGCCATCCTCCAACCTCTTCTCCTTGCGGTACTGGCCGCTGAGGGTTTGGTACTTGAAGTATCTCTCGGGTCCTTCATCAGTCTGGATGTGGTATTGCGTGTTAGGTGACGTGTCCCATCCTCCTATCTTAGCACTGGCCACTCCCAACACCACGACCTGAAACAGATGCAAGAAATTTGAAATTGATGGGTTTTGATACCTTGAAAGAAGAAATCGGAAGATTTTAAAGTGGATGACACATTGGCTACGTCAGAACAGCACTGCAGACCCTGTAGATTTATAATCATTGTTCGCCATTCCAATGTAAATTGTGCAAATGATATTTGATCCTTACTAAGGGATTTGAAATATGTGAATCAATAACTATTCTAAGCCTTTCAAAACAGTCCAATTAATCCAGCATTTACATCTCATTAAAGATTGGAACACGTCATCGATCAAACCCCCAGTTGAACTTGTTTATCACCTCAGGTCTTTGACATAAAGGATGGACGACGTCATTTCAAGGCTGACGGCTGCCCACTCTACCCTGCCCTAGCCCTAACTTGGAGGCACACGCGCGAAACTGCCAACTTGCTATTGGCCAGCCCAGCCTTGGCACTGTAATGTTCCATTGTCCCAACAAACAATTAACTGGCGAGTTTTGTCCGGGTGACACTTGAGTCGCCAACGTTTATAGGTTTGAGGTTTATTTGTATCTTGGAAGTCCATCTTTCATATTTAGTCGCAGGCTCATGCCCATGTGTCTGTGTGTACATCTGCAGAAAATGTAGTCAATTATTTTCACTGACGAATCTCTGTCATAACTACTTATGTATTACAAAGTTTCCTATAGTGCATTAAATCATGATAAGCCTTTGTTCAGGTGTGGTGAAGGTCATGTACTAGGTGTTAAGGTACAATGGAAGTCAGTTTAAAAGGTGCACAACAAAGTGCTTTGCGACAGACAACTCAGCAAGACACTAGTCTTTAAAAATTTATGGAGGCCAATGAACACCCTTTTCCCTATAAGTAGTAAGTAGCATAATGAAAAAGGTGGACTGTATACCAAGTAGTACTTGGTACTGAGCACGTTACTTGATGGGAACTTTTAATGCAAACGATTTATGTATGGAAATCTTAACAGTCCTTAAAATTATCTGTGTTTTAACCATTGACTTCTTGATGCTGAAGAAGACCTACTATCTATTTGGACCATTTGTGACAATTTTTATTTAATACTACATAGTTCGATGTACCTCTCACGGGATGTGCTTCTTTAAAATTAATTTGCTCTCTTAACATTAGATACTATGATAGTTACTTTGTCTTTAATATAGCCTACAATAAATTGTCCTTTCGCTTTAGATTGGTTACGGTTGGCAAATTCAACTACAATGAGTAATTTATATCAACACCTAGACATTTATGTTTAGTTAAGGTGCGTTTATTTTGTTCTCAAACTGGTTAAAGATTTCTTAGTGTCTACCGGTGCCCAGTTTATGCATGAAAGAAAATCAAACTTCTTTAAGGGAAAGGGGTCTAAACCTCTCAAATTTTTGAATATATACCAAGAACAAATCCGTCCCTCTCATATTGGAGTTGACGACGCTAGTTGATAACACAGCAAAAAATGGGAACCATGTTCATTTAAAACAAGAAACAGCTACATACGACTACTTCTATCAACAATCAAAGCATAAACTTCTTAACATATCACAACCAGTCCTGTTTTCAACAATCACACGTCTTCTCTTCAAAGAAGAAAGACAGCCTTGTATAAAGTTACGGTACCCTTCGCCATACAGCCTTCAGTATGAGATAGTGGAAGATACACCTACAGTAGACCTCCAGTCTCGGCCTGGGCGCCGTCCCAGCTCCAGCCGCGACCTCCCACGACCCGCGACCCGCGAGGGAGTGGTCAGTGGTGGGAGTCCTAGGTTGACCTACATCTAGAGGCCGCTAGAAGTGCAAGGAAATGGAGTAAAGGCAACAAGGACAATGGAGGAGAGCACTCAAACTAAGCTACATGTATATGAGGAGTTTATTGGAAACGTGCTTTGAAAATATGATCCGCAAATTAAAATTAATGTTAGTTTTTACTTGGTATTGACCTATACTTGTATAAAATAAAGATGAAATTACATAAAGTGATTTTTTTAAATATTACATGATTGAGGGAAATATAATTAAATTATTAATTGTATTATTAAAATTTTGTATGGACTTAATTTTTTAACCAAAGGTCCATACCCCAATGCCAAGCACTTTCAACCTTAACAGCTGGTAGTTAACGTCTAATTTCCCCCAAGGAGACCGGAGACTTGAGTGGTGGGTCACACCGATGCCGCTTGAGGCTGGTTTAACCACCTTTGTCCGGTGTAGACAGGAGCATAAAGACAGACAGGTCAAGAAACCTACACAATACTCGGGTATTATTGATAGGCCTGATGTTAATTACTAAATAATTCATTCCATCATGACAGGTTGATAGGTCGGCGTCGACAGAGGGTTTTGTGGCCTTTTTAGTGTCTTAAGATTGATCGTTTTGACTTTTTAAGTACGAGAGCCTTGTATTAGATTAATTAAAATACATTATCTTATTATTTTTTCCACATATCTAGTAAGAGCATATTTACTACCGAATGGTAATAATTGTTGAATTGTTTCTGTTGACGTAATACATCGTTATTCCAGTCAAATTTACCAAAACTGTTTGTACTATTACGGGTTTTTCGTTGTTTCTTTTTTTACTTTGTACTATCTATGACTTTAAACTAATTTTTAAAAAACGTGTTATATGCAAAGATTTTAATGAGGTATACAAATTGCTTCATAAAACTTAGTATTTCAATTGTAATACTCAATCTTAAATGGGTTACTCCATCTTCACTACTTCTTCAACACGAAATACCATAAAACCTCAATAAACCAATAAACTCTAAATATTTTGTAACATATTTCCATTTATGACGTCACGCAGGGAACTAGAACTCACGAGGTTCAAATTAAAACCCGAAGAACGACGTTTCTAATACCGTTTCACAAACCGTTTCGAGAAGTCATAAAGATACAATCGGCCGTCAACAAAGGGGAGTTGCCTAGCAACTGATCAGCCTGAGAAGTCGTTGATGTTACGCTGATGCAACTTATTGTCTTCGAGAGGAAACATCTCGCCAACTCTGAGCAGGAAGTGTAACGTATAACGCGTTGGGAGCGACTCGCATTCACATGTTCAGTTACACAACCGTGATGAGCGGCGTTGTCACGGTTATAAGTCGAGAAGTAATCGTTGCAACTGATTCCAAATTTGACTTGCTGACCAGTCTTGACAAATATGGTCGGAGGAATCTTCTTTCTAATTGGTGAAAGTTTTCCGAATGATAAGTAACGCTGGAAATTAAAATTTCAAACAGTGGAATTCATTGAGTAACGTTGGTCCTTCGAGCCGGATAAAGGGACAGTGACGTCACCTTGGTACGTTGCATCATAACGCTTAGCTGAGGCTGTCTCGTGTCTCGTACCTCATACCAGCCTCTCGCAACTAGATAACCACCCAGGTTGGGACACTCAATGGAATCCAGCTCTTGACATTGGCGGTCTTTGTACTCCACAATGTCTGGAGAGGAAATAGTTTGTTATGGAAATTTGTGTATTTTGCTCTTGGTGGATTGTGGCCAACTTGCTCCTATTGTTTTAATTGGTTTACTTTTTGCAGCAATCATTTTTTATTAATTTATAAAATACAGTTTTAGTTTGCCATTTGCAGGTACTGTACATACAATTACACCAACCTCTATAATCTACGTCAGCCATTGATTCGCTAGCACTACGATATACTAGCACCAGAGATGATGTCATCATCTAGTGTGCGTAGCCGTACACTACACTATCCGTATTACTCTTAAAGTCATTTACATTGCGTCGATGGATTTAAATAAAACACTACTACGAATTAACATATAGAGCACTTGCGTAGCTATCTGGCAACCGACCAACATTTTATTACAACCTGAGATATCCACTTTGGACACTTAAAGGATATTGTAGAAAAACGCAGCAAATATTTTAAATTTTACCTTGAAATATTCTTAGTATTTTGGTACACATTTCGCAAACCAATATGAATTCTCAAAATCATATCAGGTCCAAAAAGTACAATAGGTGCATTAACAAACTATAAACAAAATACTGAAAAAATGTACATCAGCTTTAATATTTGAAAGGTATATAAATATTCAGCCAGGTTACACAAAAGTACCCATTTCTGAATCAGATTAAGTAAAGTAATATTACAGTTAGATACTCGTTTATCTTTCAACACACTGGTTCATCTCCCCACTCCCTATTGCTACTCTAGTCTCATGAGATAGCTATGCGGTAGGGAGGTGTCGGTCCTTATACAGGACAGCGTGAGTGGATAGTGGGCGAACAGGGATCTTCGTGCAAAAACTACTTCTTACGTCACTCTATATATGGCAGAGAACATGTAAAACAGGAGTGAGATAATTCTGTGAACTAGATCTTGACTGTGAATAATGTTTCTGGGTGCAGAGGTTGATTTGATGAGATTTGAAAATCTACTAATTTTTTGGAATTCTAGTCTTGAATGTCGTTAATATCCTAATTAACATTAGTTGTCGTACGTATTTTAATTTAGTTATAAGCACTTCATATACAATAAGACAATTAAACGTTACGGTACTTAAATTATAAATAGTCAAAGGCAAGACAACGTCTGCCGGGTTCAGCTAGTTATAGATAAAAGAGTAAATTTAAATTCAATTTCTATCATTATTAGTTGAACTAATGTACTATTTGAATTCACTTTAAACATTAACCACGCACAATGTTGATTTAATTCCAATCTTGAGTCAAATTTACTAATTGCAATTTTTTCAACGTTAAATATGTTTTTATGAAATTAAGAGCAAATTAACTGTACAAAGAATTGACAGAAAAAATTAAATTGTAGCTAATTCAATTACTAAATACTATGTGTACTACATTACTACTGTTAATAAGTATTAAATCAAATTTTCCCAATACGGTATACCCCTCCAAATAGAAACTTTACAAATTTTAAGCAAAATTAAAAAATATTTTTAAAAATAAAATTAGAATTATATAAGATTTTATGAAAGCCGTTCCGAAGTAACAAAGTCTTTTATTGCTAA